TTCATTTAGCTAAATGTTTGACCAATTAGAATTTAGTCAATCTGGACTTTCAGTCTTTAAGGTCAAGTTCCAGTCAGGATCAGTTGTCACTTTGGATTTTTTATTTGTTTCTCAATTTGGTAAAGAGTGATTAATTCAGCAATAAGTTAAGTTCAGTTGGTTAGGGCACTCGACTCGCACTCTGAGGGTCGCGGGTTCGAATCCCTGTCCCACGAAACATGCTTGCCCTGGGGGCGTTATAATATGATGGTAAATCCCACTGTTCGTTGGTAAATGGTAAAAGAGTAGCCCAAGAGTTGGCGGTGGGTGGTGATGACTAGCTGCCTTCTCTCTAGTCTTACACTGCTAAATTAAGTTAAATATATATTGCCCCCCCCCCCGTGGAACAGTGGTTAATCTGTGGACTTACAATGCTAGAAACCGGGTTTCGATACTCGTGGTGGGCAGGGCACTGATAGCCCATTGTGTAGCTTCGTGCTTAATTACAAACAAAACAGTTAAATATAAGTTAACTAGTGTTAGAAAATAACTGTGTTACTATGGAAATTAGTGAGTTTAATGTGGCAGTCTTGTAGCAGTGACCTAGTCAGTATTGATAGAACAGATGGAAGAGCTAACTAATCTACTAGAGAAAGACACGAGATAGATAGTGAATTATTACTGTTTATCACTAATGCTAATAAACAATATATCAAGTCCTGACCAGGCACGTGTTTATTAACTGTATTGATAAGTGTTGAATTTATTTCTAAATGTTTTTATTGCTGAATAAATTGTTGTTTTGTTTTTGTTGAACCCTGTTTGTAGTGGTGTCATTTTAGACCCTTATGCAGTTTCTCATTTCCAGCTTTGAACTCCAGCCTTACCTATACTGTGCTCCTGTTCCAGTGCCTGCTTCACAGTTTCCTTTATTTTAGCCCATGTTAGAGATGGTTTCTTCTTCAACCTATAATATCTCCCAATTGCTGCAGGACACCCAAGACTTTCTCTATAGTGAGGGGCTTGAAATCTTCAGGGAGATGGAAAGTGCTGGACTGATGGCTAACATTAGTGAGCCCATTGATAAAGAAACATTGCAAGCCAATGTTTCTGACATGTAAAATAATGTTGATTTGGTGAACAGGTCAGAATTAATGTTTCATAGGGCCAAAAGATCCATCTAGGATCAGGGGATTCAATGCTATCAAACCTGAAGAAGTCTTCTCTGAAAGTGGCTCAACAGCAGAAGTTGATGCAATTATCAATGCCACAAAAAGAAGAGGTGAAGACTGAGGAAAGGAGGGGACTGGTGACTTGTCCCATTGAAGGTATGGTACAACAACTAGAAGGAGATGATAGATGTGTTTTAACTGGAACTACTATATTCCAGAGCTTAAGACGACCTTTTAAGCACTAGGTTCATCCCAAAAGACATTCATGTGTCAGGAAGATGAAGATGGGATGGACTCTAAGAAGACCTTGACGTTGTGACCTTCAGCAGTATAAATGAGCCAGACAGCTTGTCTCGTGGTTCTTGCCATCAACTAGGGTGTCATGAAGATGTATGCTGTGTGGGTGGCAAGGAATCATTTACCAAAAGACCTTGGGAGACATCACAGAAATGGTCAAGAGTGAAGTTCCCTATCTAACCTCCTAAGCATATCCAATCTAATCAAAAATTGGCCTAAATTAGAGCAGATTCTAGCACTAAAGCATCATTCTCAGGAGATGACAGCCTGGTGTGAAGAGTACTAGATCTTCTATAACAAAGAAAAACAGCTGCTGAGGGAAAGTACCATTTCTCTGTAGAGATATGAGGAGGATGTCCAAAACCTGTAAAAGAAGCTAGCCAAAACCAATCAGCATCCAAGCAGACCTCAAGGTGTCCATAGTCACCAAATAAAAGACAACAGTGGGGATGGAAGCTTTGCTTGTGGAATTAAGGTAAGGAGAGTGAAGTCTCGACAATTTTCCAGAGTGTGTGTAAATATTCAGATTTAACCTATTATCATTTATTTTGTATGTATTTTATGTTGTTCATTTTAAGTTAGAGTGCCCGTTACCATATACACTCATGAGTGCATGTGAAAACATTTCTTTGTTTTTAGAACAAAGCCACTTTAGGCTCTCTGCTGTGTCCATCGCGGGAAATCGAACCCCGGCATTTAGTGTTGTAAGTCCGTAGACTTACCGCTGTCCCACCAGAAGATGCATATGAACTACTAGAACCTAACATGTTTACTTCCTTTTTGTATAATTATGTACCCTGACGTTTTCATGCATGTCAGTGCGCGCGTGTGTGTGTGTGTGTGTGAAAAACAAGGGATTTAAAAGTTATTTTGTGTATTTTTTTCATTTACACATGAGTGTACAGGAATGAGAGATGGTCAATTTTGTTTTAGTGTTATTGTTATTGTTTGGTTTTAAGATTTCTGTATGTCGATGGTGTTGATTTTTAAATGTTTTAATTGTTTTGTATATAATTTAGTGTTGTGATTTTAAATCACCATTCAAAGGGTATTTTGTTTGTGTGTGAGTAGTTGACTTTTATGTCAGTGCGCTTTATTCAAAGTGTTAAACAGAGAAGGAATGTAAAGTGTGATATGATGCAGGATATCATATGTTTTCTATCAGCTTTAGTTATACTGGAATTTTAAATTTTTTCGTTTACTTAAGTTCTATGCAAATTTAACATAAGCGGATGGTTAAGAAAGTCATTGAGATTGCTTTGATCTAGTTGTTTTGCTTCTTTATTCCATTTAGTAGATAATGTCTTTTCCGCCTTAGAGGATACATCATTAACATATAACATCTGAATTAAAAGGATTAGCAACTGTAACATCCTTTGCTGGCTGAATTGACAGTGTTTGTATGTTACAGCCACTCAATGCTGTGAGAGAACAAAGGTCACGAGGTAACATTGTGGATGGACTAAGAAATTGAACTTAGCTGTTGAATTCAGGCATGCTTTCTTAGTTCATTTTCTACCTATAGATTGGGAATATAGTCCTATTTGTCGATTAGCGTGTTTGGTTTGACAGAAGTCTATCCACAGAAAAATAAAGCTGTGGAGTTAAAGACAATTCAATAGAAGCAACTGTCTTTTCATATACATAAGTATATACACTGCATTTTCTTTTGTGTTTCAGAATTCAAATGTTGTTCATTTCATTAAGTTTGTCCGTCTTGTCATTTCAATCAAATACACATTACTCTCTTTATTTTCTGAACAAATCTGCTGTTGTTGGCAGGGTTTAACTACCTAATACTTTTCAGAATATTAGTTTCCACCTGAAAATAGCACAAAGCATCAACTTTAGTCATCAGTGCTAAATATATTAACAAACTACTATTATAGCGTGTTAAAACCTATATATATATATATATATACTAAAAAGCAGGAAGAACCACTGATATGTAAACATCATAATTCTTTTTTTTCTTTAGTGATTTTAATTGTTTGTTATGTTTACGGTAGTTACTTGTAACGTTATTGTTATCTACTCTTTTTGACTAAATCTTTTGAAATGGATTTATATGTGTTGAAAATGAAGTAATGATTCGTACAATAAAACTCATCATATATATTATTCGATTCGTTAAGAGGCGTGGGTGTATGACAATATTAAATATCCGAAGCCAAAATACTATGAACAGAAAACCAACCTCAACTTAAAATGTTGCAATTCTTTCTGAAAGTAGACTTTTTCTTTTAAAGGGAAAATACAATATTTAGTTTTTGTTGCAACCATTAAATTCAATCTACTGACATTATTACAAATAAAAAATCTGTTTTAAGAACGCAGATTTAATACATAAACGTTTAAAAAATTGCTAGAATTTGTACATATTGTTGGGGGGAAATCACATCTAACAATCATAGTATTTAAAGTATTATAATATCTCTGTATTAAAATATTTGTGAGAATGACCTAAGTAATTGTTTCTGTTATTTTTTCATGTTAATTTCTATATTATTATCATTATTGGTTAAATGTATAAAAAATCATTTTTATCATTTTCATTTATTTGTTATATACATATTATTATAAATATTACTTTCCTCTATTAGCTTAGTTTTTGGATTTTAAACTAACCTAAACCTTCTAAGCTAGCCGAACTTTGTGCTGTATTGGGATTACGGCCCAAAACATCGATGACTGAAAATAACAAAATGGTGTACCCATGCATTCTAAACATTCGAAATTTTTGTTATTAAGTTACCTAGGTTAATTGATCGTTTAAGTTTTAGTTCTGATCTATGTTGGTAGCTTGCTTTGATCAAAAGTAATTAATGATAATTTTAAATAATTAATTATAATCATCTTCTTATTTAACACATTAAGGTTAGTAATTTAAATGGATCCCAACAAAATCAAGCAAACGAATTCTAACTTGTCTTGCTGATTCTGATTCGTGTATTTCCTCAATTTAGCAATTTTGTTTATTATTTGATACAGGATTATAAATCCCTCTTTAACTGTAACAAGAAACTGGTCTAATATGCACCGAGAGATTTTTTACCTAACAGTGGGCAAACTTTACAGAAATATTTGTAGTTAAAGAAACGTAATTTGTAAACAATAAATATGTCACAACAAGAATAATTGATTAGGCGCAAAAGAAAATATTTCATAGTCTATATACAAATATATAGAAAATTATCTATCTTAATAAATGAAAAAATTATACGCTTCCTGACCCAGTAAAAATATATATATATATATATACTGTGTTTGTGTTTTTTCCTTCTGGGGGAAGTCAGGGATAGTAAAGTCTGTTTCTTATAATCGTACTCGAGTTAATTTTTCACTGACATTTCACATGAGTCAAATTTGGTTGACAAATTTCACACACTATCAACACAGGAGCAACTGTGCTACTATAGTCTTGGTTGGTCCTCAAAAGTGCATATCCGGTAAAGCATAGAGGGAGGTGGAATGGGTAACTGTATATATACATTAAGTGGTATGTTACTGCAGCATCCCTAATTCTCCTGCCTGGCGTTCTGTGAGCTATCAGCTCATGCAGCACGTGACGTCTGAGTTGCGCGAGCCATCCTGCACGGAAGTGCGTATGGTAGTGTTCTCTTTCAGTCGAGTGTTGGGCGTAGGTCGAAGTTTAGAGCGACGTTTTATTACACCGAGATTAGTCATACTAGTGTCATTTTTGTGTGGTATATCTACTGTTGTCAAACGTATTTTAACATAACAACGAACTTAAATCCTCGAATTTGAGTTCGTACAAGGAAACCCATATTATGTTAGGCAAGTAAAGGTATGTATACGTTTATATAAAGGCCTAATGTAGTTAACCAAACCTAATTTGTAAACAATAGTTATACCTCACCAAGAACTGATTATCCTGCCTTTCCACTCCATTGTTTTTCATCATCAGACTTTTTGAATACTTCCTGACCTTATTTGGCTGTATTCTACAGGTTCTGTATCACGCAGCTTAACAGCTTTCGAAAACACTGACTGTACGCATCTTGCTGGTTCTGTTTTGCCTATATATTTAATTTAGTAAATTTAGCCACATGATAGCAGGGCGCAATCTTTTTATGCCGCGTACTTCCAGACAGACTTTTGAGCCAGTGACGTACCCCTAACACATATGATTTTGTAATAAGAAAAGAAAAAAAGTCAATCAAAAGAAATAATTCAAGAGTGGGTCAACACTACGCGGACGACGATTGCTGGCTAGTGTAATACGCCGGTAACGATACTGTCTTCCAATTTTGAGGCGTGAGGTGTATTTTCGTTTTAATAATTTTCAAAGTTTCTCGATGTTGGAACTACTGCTATATCATGTACCATTATCACACTCTCCCTTTTAACATGAGACTGACCTACCATGCACCGAGAAGTTTGGGGCTAACAATGGGCAAACACTGCAGGCATATCTTATTTTGTTTTTCTCCCTAACAAGGAAACGGAAATTAAATATAAATTTGAATTTGTGGAGGTTCTAAATAATACATCACAGCTTCAGAGCTAATTCTAAAGTCAGCAGAAAATGACTTAGCATACCCTCCGTCAAATGTTTGGTCAAACCATAACATAACTATATTTTTTTAGTTATATACATAAAAAAGTGATTTTTATTAATGTTATTATAGCATAAATACATTTTATTCTTCCCTCCCCCTATAAAAAATAAACAAAAACAACAACAGAAGGTGGGCATGACCGTACTAGCTATGAGTACACCCAGGTCTAGTCTTCAGCTGTATTTTAGCTTCCTTAGATCACACTCAAACACATATATATATATATATGGGCAGGTGAGAGGCAAATCTCACTATTCGGTTTGATAGGAGTGACACAGAATTGGCGGTGGGTGGTGTTGACAAGCTGTCTCTCCTCTAGTTTATTACTTCAACACTAGGGCCTACTTGCTCAAATAACCCTCATGTAGGTCTGCTCATATTTCAACGAACAAACGCACACATTTAGAAACTGTTCCTTTCGAGGCTCAGAGTTGTATACCTGTTACACACATTTAGGAACAGCTCCTACCGAGCTCTCTGAATTGTAATAACTGTTAAACACACACAATTAGGAACAGCTCCTTTCGAGCTCTCTGAATTGTATAACTGTTACACACATTTAGGAACGGCTCCTTTCGAGCTCTGTGAATTGTATAACTGTTACACACATTTCGAACGGCTCCTTTCGAGCTCTCTGAGTTGTATAA